ACACGCACACGCACACGCACACGCACACGCACACACACACACACACACTACAACAGTGCAAGAAGAAGCTCACATTTAAGGAAAGAAAAAATATATAATGGCATCTATAACAGTGACAGACAAGAGTAGCAGAAACAGGAATTAAGCAACAGACTTTAATACTTTCCACCCTTAAAAGCCAACTTCAAATGCTATCTACCTTCAGGTTGCTGATGGCACACTTTCCCGGTCATGGTAATGGAGCTTTCACACCTGGTTTGTTTCACTCAGGAAGAGCCTTATGTGATGTACAGGAAATCTGACAAGCCCCTGCATGGAAATGACAGATTTGAAGGATATTGCCTGGATCTGCTGAAGGAACTGTCAAATATCCTGGGCTTCCTTTATGATGTCAGACTCGTTCCTGACGGCAAATATGGAGCCCAAGATGACAAAGGAGAGTGGAACGGGATGGTTAAAGAACTCATTGACCATGTAAGCAAATCCACACCTGACTGTTTGAAAAAATGCCCTAAATGAGGAAGAGGAGGGAAAGAGTAGTTGATTCAAAAAAAATAAAAAAAACAGTCATTTTATACCAAAGCCTTGAAGAATGACTTTAGTGTTCCGTGTTTTTAGCCACATACACACAGAATTTAAAAAGGAAAATAAAAAATACCAAGATAGGAAGTTTCCTCTTTGGAAGAGTGAGTAAAGTAAGTGTTTGGGATTAAAATGTACACATTCACTGTTTATGAAAATAATAAAGCTTGAGAGGTTTCCAATTAAATTGAGAATTCTAGGACTTGGGACTCAGGACTCAGAGAAAAATCTCATCTTGTAAACATGTATTATAACCAAGTTCCTTCCTTTCCTAACATGCCCCTGATAAAGACATCATCCTGCAATTCTAGTTTATCTCCCCCCTCTCGATTTGTGTGTGTGTATACCTTACCCAAACCCCACCCCTTCATACTGTCTGGTTTCTCTTTGATAATAAATGCTATGACTATATATAGCTCCTTGCACAAAAAGCATTTGTAGTTGAGATTAGAAAATAGAGACACAAGATACTCAGGGAAAGTCTAGTCATTTGCAGAGAAGAAAGGCAACACAGCTGACAGTTTTGAACCTGTTTTTACAGAGAGCCGACCTCGCAGTGGCTCCTCTTACCATCACTTATGTAAGGGAGAAAGTCATAGACTTCTCCAAGCCTTTCATGACCCTGGGCATTAGCATTCTTTACCGAAAGCCCAATGGAACCAATCCTGGTGTCTTCTCCTTCCTCAACCCTCTGTCTCCAGACATTTGGATGTATGTGCTACTGGCCTGCTTAGGAGTCAGTTGTGTTCTCTTCGTGATTGCAAGGTGAGTTGGAGAATGCTGAATTCAAGACCACGGTCTGTCAGTAACAGATTTCAGAAATTCATGGTTTTAAGTGCAATCTTACTTTTGCTCATTGCTTCATTTTTTCAAGGCTTCCATGTACAACTACTGTGTGCACTGAAAGATAGTTGTCCATAAAGATACATTTTTTAAAGAAACAAGAAACTCCTTTATATTAATTTGACTTTTTCAGTATTTCAATTCAGATAAAAAACCACTATACCATTTTCTGAAGAATACAGAAAAAGGCAATGCATCATCTGGGATAACTAAAATGTTATGAAAATAATAATAATAAAATGATTTTAAGATATTTGGTAGCTGGAATAATTGAATAAGCCAAACAAAAAAAAAACCAGCTAGGAATCACCATAGCAAATAAAAACATGGAAAGAAAGATGCTGAAACCCTTAAGGATCAAGAACAAACACTTTAAAAATTTGTGAGAATCTTCTTTAAAATCATTGGAAGGCTAGTAAGAAAGTCACAGAAGTAACACTGAAAAGAAATTAGATCATGGAAGATTAACTATTGGATTGATTGATTGATTGATTGATTGATTGATTGATTCTGTAGTGGAGATGAGCCTTAGAGTCTTATGTATGCTTAGCATGCCCTTGCTACTTAGCTACGTCCTCAAGCCATTATAAAAATGTTATGATACTCTGCAAGTGTTTTAATTTAAGCTTTATCATTCAAGATTAAATTCTGCCATCTATATGTAACCATTATATTTACACAATTTTTCCAAAGTTTCTAATCCCTCTCAGTAGACCATATATCAAAATACCTTTGACACTGAATTTGAAACCACTGTTTTACTTATCTGTTCCTCTTAAACATTTGATTGTGTTGATATCTTGCTTGTACAAATAAAGCCTGTCTGAAGACCAGAGCATGGAGCTTGACAGACAGAATGACCTCTACAATTAGCTAGTGGCAAGCTCCATGCTCTGATCTTTAGACAGGCTTTATTTGTATAAGCAAATTATCACCACATTTGATAGCCCTAGATAAGCTGTTTTTAAAATTATTTTTGAATGCCATGCCCTTGTTTGCAATCTTTTTCAGCTTTCAACAAAAATTGTTAAAAAAATATTTCCCTAATCTATTTTTGTCTTCTCTCTAGGAATTGATAAGAGAAATATCTCTTCATGGTAGCTTTTTGTCATTGTTCCCTGTCCATTTTTGGTTAATGCCTGGTGACTTTTTTCCCAGCATAATGACAAATAAAGCTTGGGAAAATAACCCAAGCAGGAAATGCACAGAAGACCCACAAGACCGACAGAATCAAACTGAACAAACCACCTTTCTGTGGACATTTAAGCTTTCAGTGGCGAAAAAAGTCTAGTTCTCAACACTTTATAAAATGTGCCATTGCCAAATCTCAAATTTTAATGTTTTTTAAAATACTGATCAAAATTATTTCAATACACATACACACAGCACAACACACACACACACACACATACACACACACACACACACACACACACACACAATTATCAACTTCAAAATGTCAATCATATTAAGGTCAAGAGACCATGCTCAAGATAATTAAAGAAAATAATCCTTGAAAACAAATCTTAGTCAGTTGTTGACCTTTGGAGATTTGTCACAGTTCCTAGGTGAAGTTAATATTGCCCTGGGATAGCCATGTAGTAACAAAGTACCATCTCACAAGGAAAGCACCACTTTATACTGAATTGTTACATTTCTCTCCTTGGGATCCACCCCCTCACTAAGTTATTAAAGGGGCAGAGGGCAATAAAAATGTGAGTTTTCATGTCCTAAGTCCATGGTTTCTTCAATCGTGAATGCTCGCAATTGAAGCAACCAAGGTAATGGTGATGGAAAAGCACATAACTTACTGTAGCAAAGCTGACCAAAGCTGAGAGGAAAAGGGTGTGTCAGCATAGTCCAGAAGCTCTGAGAAGCTCACAGGCTCACGGGACCCTTTTTGCTGCATCCCAACTGAATTCAGTGACATAGAAATGAAAACAGTTGATCTAATAATTATCCTTTGCCCTAAAGAAGCTTTTGAATTTGTATCATGAAGTATATCCTTCTATGTTTCTTAAAGTGAAAAGTAAAGCCAAATCTGGCATTTAAGCTAACACCTCACTAAGCAGATCCCTAAACGTCATTTGTGGAACTCAACTGAATTTATAAACTTATAAAGCATTAATGGAAGACGCTAAGGAAAACCAAATAAAAGGCCAGTTAAGCATGGCTGATGACAAATGTGCGTGTTAGTGTTTTGGTTTGGCAGTTGACTTTCTAAAAATATTTAACCCCGAGGAATTAGGTTCGAGGTGAATATCAGACTGAAATGAGCCAAACTTCCTAACACAGGGCTTGCTTACATTCGTTGTTTACATTTGTCTTATTAAAATGAAGCTCTGAAAGCTGGCATTTATCAAAAAGCCAAAATAGGAAAAACAATGAAAGCATATTCTAAGATTACAGTACAAACTCAGCGGTTATACAAGTTCAGACAGATTTTTCTCCATTGAAACACATGGATCTTTTTATGTTCAAAGCAACCATTGTCTATCAACAACAAGAGGCAGACAGTCCCCTCACTTAGGAAACTTCACAGCAAGGACTATTTCTCAACCTTGCACCTAATGTAAACTTTGCATATCTAAACCCTAACCCAAAGGAAACGTTCACATGTGTAAATCCACTAGATTCACTACACTTCAATTTGTTTTATTAGCTTTGTTTGGAAACAAGGAAGATTTTTCCTTGCAACCCAGGATGTTCTTGCACTTCCTATGGAGACAGACTGGTCTCAAATTGGAAGCAATCCTGTTGTCTCAGGCTCCCAAATGCTGGAATTACAGGCAAAATCATCATGCCCATGAAAAATTGTCATATATGCACGTTTTGACATAGATTCTAAGCCCACTTGCCCATATGACATGTTACTGACAGTCCTGACTTACTGAGTGTCATATGAGGCAGGGTTCTCAGATGGCTACTCTAGCAGACCATGTATTAGACTCGTAGTGCTGACATGCTGTCCCAGTGACTTTAACAAGCAGGCTCTAGGATTCTCAAACTGAAATGTCTACACCCACACAACAAGTGTGTCTTTCTACATCGTAAAATGCCAGGGCCTTGCAGCACCACCTTATGTCATTGTTCAATATTCCCCAGTTCACATGCTTCCCAAGTCACTCAAATACTGTAGAGAAAGAACTAGCAACTTCCTGAAGAGCTAAGAAGTGTGCTGATGTTTAGATAGATTCCCTCTGCTCCACAGAAAGTCCAACCAATTGCTCACAGCATTAAAGTATTTTAACATTTTTATTTATTTATATTTAATTGTTTATACATGGAAAAAATTAAGAAGCAGCATTCCAAGGACATGTGCTCACAGATCAAAGTGTATTTAGTGGGTAAACAACAGAATACCAGGGGCTGGTGGTTGCCAGATTTTGGGGTCTATTTGAAAAGCCTGTATTCTTGAATGTATAATCTTCCTAATTTGTTGCAATTAATATTTTAAAATTACTGTACAAGGGACAATGATATTGTTTAAGTAACAGCATCTTTAGTCTACATGCTGTTTCAATTATTGGGTTCATTAATATCGGTATTCTTTTCTTTCAGCTCAGCAAACTACTATAGTTATAAGAGTGTATAAATTCAGAACTTAATTACACTGTTGCAACAGTAATTAAAATGTATTGGCATGCACTGTCAATTAAAGCCATGTTCATAAGCTTACTGGAACGTGCATGGTTGTACCCTGAAGCTTGGGAGAAGCCAAAGAAAGAGTTGGATGACCTTATGGTGCAATAAATGACCAGGCTGCTATCCTAATGCCCCTAAGACTGTGAGCAGACACTGCACACTTTGTAGAAGATGTCTGGGGCTTTAGAGAACTTTTTTCATTAAGAGGAACTATCTTCCCAGGACTTTGTACGTGATTCAAAGCATGTCCTGCTTTTCACTGTAGATAATATACTCACCTTATGCCCAGTTCCCCCTGATGCATCTGCAACCTGCTATTGTTTACTGCTGAGGCCTTATGGCTTGGAGAGTATCCGTATGTTCTCTTTGGCATTATGATATTTCAACATCACTCTAACAATCCTTTTTTTTTTTTTTGCCTTAAAAGGACCCAGCGGCAAATGGCAAAGCTTCCAGTACTATGAATTGTTGCATTTTAAATTATTACAGATGACTTTGTGGAACATCTGGCAAATGTATTTAATGAAAAAAAAGCACACCTCACTAGGGTTGCTCCCCAAAAGACCCTTTAGAGCCCGTGCCTCCTCTGGATGACATGCATCAGACAGATTCTTAGAGAAATAAGAAGGACTAAAATTGTAATCATTTCCCCAGATTATTATTTTTAAATGTTGAATCTAGGCATCTAGGTTTCCCTATTTTATAGAGAGGCAAACTGAAGCCACATGAGTCAAGTCAAATCCTTTGTGTAGATTTCCTGGGTGATTCATTGTATTTCCAGAAACTTACAGCCATGGCTTCTTGGAGGTAGAGCAATAATGGTGCCACAGAAAACACTTTGCACACCTAACCAGAGTTGCTGATTATATGACTTCAGGGCATAATTCAGAAAACCATCCAATTAATAATATATCAAAAGGGAAGCATGAGCTTCTAATTTCCCACTGTGAGCCTTGAAGTTAATGCCATTATACTATATTAGTACATATAGTATATACCTATACCTGGGCCATGATACTCCTAAATTTAAAATTTGCCTTTTCATTGAAGGATTCTATATAGTATCTTTGAAATAAGCGATATACTCTCAAATCCATCCCTTCTTTTTTGTTCATTTTTTTTCTTTATTCTACATTATTTGTGAAATGCTAGACTCTGTATAGTGTCTGTTCATGGAACCATAATGTCTCTGGAGAGCACCTGACCCTCACAGCAACTAGCAACATAAAAGCTCAACCATGTAATCATTCATTCCATGCCTCTCTTGTACCTTGCTAGAGTCAAAACTTGAGATGCAGGAACTTTTCTTTATAGTTGTCTAGTTGCTCAGTAAAATGTGAATGATTGGAAACTCAGAATTCAGTGGATAGAGGTCTGAGGAGTGCCATCCTAGCCACTAATGGGTTTGACTCTGAAGTAAGAAGCTAGTGAGTATTTGCCCAGTGACTTTCCCAATCCAGAAGCAATTGCTTCTGCTCAGTTGTTGGGTTTTCTGCATTGCTCAGCAGCTTTTCCTCTGGTTCATCTGTGTATCTGATGTTTACAAACTGTTTCTGTCAATTATCACAGGTTTACACCCTACGAGTGGTACAATCCCCACCCGTGCAACCCCGACTCAGACGTGGTGGAAAACAATTTCACTTTGCTAAATAGTTTCTGGTTTGGAGTTGGAGCTCTCATGCAGCAAGGTACACCGGTTGCCCATTTTGTCACTTGCATCCCACAGTCTGCTGATAAGCGTTCGTGCTGGTGAACTCCACCATGAAGGTAGATGGTAGGATGAAACACACAGGAATAGAAAACAACAGCAATAGAGTTTCTAGCCAGTTCTCAAAAGAAGACAGAAATAGGGTCTAAATGGAGCTTCTTTGCCATGAATACACTTCTTCCAAAGAATGGACACACCATTTTCCTGAAAAGAGTGAAGAATAAGGAGCCTATATTAGTTACCTACTCATTGATGTAATCAAATAACTGATTAGAAGCAATTTAAGGGCTAACGGGTTTGCAGTGGCATAGTTAAGAGTATATTCCATCAGGTGTGGGGAGCTTGGGGACAGGAACTTGGGGCAACAGTCACAGTGTATCTGCAGTAAGGAAACAAAGAACACTGAACTCTGTGCCCTACTAACTTTGTCCACTTTTGTATTGCTTTTTCCTTTTTATTAAGTCTACAGCCCCAGCCTATAGGAAGATGCATCTCACCTTCAGGGCCTTCCCTCCTCATCCAAGCCTGTCAGGAAACATCTTCACAGACATGTCAAGAGATGTGTCTCCTAGATGACTCTAAACCTTGTCGAGTTAACAGGGACCTTCACAAGAACTCAGACTTGTTTTAACAAATGCATTTCCATAGATAGACATGCCCATCTTTTCTTTCTTAGTCATAAATTCACAAGTCAAAAGTTTAAATGGAATGGAATTTAAACCCGTTGAAGTTTGAATCCACTTGGATTCCTCCTGTTGCTAATGGGACCTAGAACTTCCATCTAATTAACACTCTGAGAAACCCTATAGAGATTCGCCTTTGCCACCCAATAACTTGTTACAATCTCCTTTGGACTGGCAACCATAGCAACAATAAACTGTAGAGGTTGGAGAAATAAAACTGAAACCAAAGAAATGTAGTATACTTTACCTTTCTCTATGATTTCAGAGATTTTTGCTTTTGTTGTGGAGGGGGGAGTGGTTGCTTTAACCTTTGGAAGAAATCCATCTTGTTTGTGGGTTTTCTTCAGCTTTGAACTCAGACATATGGTCTATCAACTATTTCCAAGATTAAATGCATTAATTTAAGAAATCATAAGTCACAGATGCTGTTGTGTTTGGACTATCTTTCCACTTGACAATAAGCTACAAAATAAATTGGCAAAAATCTCAATTGGGATATACATTAAACATGTGTGTGATTTGAAAGTAAACCTAAGGTTTTTCATTAGAATGTTGTTATCATATCCTTTGAAATGTTTACATTCCATGAGTCCAACACACACAGAGAGAGAAGAAGTTACAGATACAGAAGAGAGAGAGAGAGACTATAAATTAAATATGCATTTTGGTCATTGGTATGCAAATACCATGTAATTTAAGAAATGGGCACTTCTTTTATGTAGTTATGGATAGTTTATGTAGGGACAACTAAATGGGTGTAGACACAACTAGATTTAGTAGAAATCACCGGCATGAATTTAGAGCATAAGACAGAGCTATAAATCTGCAAGACACCCCATTAGAAGCTGTGTCTGCCTTACCCAGTGCACTTAATTCTTTAGGGTAATTATCGTGTGAGCAATTACTCTGAGGATGAAGGAGGCCTCCTCCCATCCCTGCAACTTGACTTTTCCAGCAATAGAATAAGAAACAAACACACACGGGTTTCAGTGGTCATGCTGCAGACTTGTTCAGGTACATACCTATTGCCATGTACATGTATCCATTTTTAACCCTTGATCACATGTTTTCCCCAGCTGGAGTTTACCAGCATCCACAGCAAACTGTGGGATGCAGTGTCTGTTAGTTACCACTACCTTGGATACATGACAGTCAGCCCCAGCCAGACTCAAACATTCCTCAGGTGCAACAAGCACTTCCAAGTGCAGAATTTGTGACTGTTAGTACATCTGCCCTTGATACAAGGCACTGAACTAGGTAGCTACTGTCTGTCATACTCTCCCCTGTGTGCAAAGAAGCCTGTCATTGTATTAAACTGGAAACCACGTTGTTTCATTTCTTTTTTTTTTTTAATGTGATGATCAGACTTTCTCTTTTCTACAGAGCCTGAGCAAAGTCTGGATCAGGATTGGCTGTCATGTCTGCCATAAAAGGCAGTAAAGAGACTTCAGCAAGTACTGTCTCACCCTGAGTATTCCCAGTGGTGTTTTATTCTTTGTGTTACTGTTCTCATGACGTCATCCTATAGGGAAATGAACATGCACAAATCATCTCTTCTTGAGGGAGGCCATTTTTGGAATATATCAGATAACGCTAAGGATTAAGAAATTCCCAAAATTATATAATTTTTTAAAAAATGCAAAGGAGCATTGATAAATTTCACTAATACCATCCAAGGACAGATTAAAATGCAATCCCATTAGTTTGCAACATTTTGCTCTAAATTTACAAGAATTTCCTCTAAAATTAAAAAATATTTATTTTGAAGTTAAAAATACAAATTTATATTTGCCTGTCAAATGGTTGCTCATCTGCAAATTCATTTCTGTTTCCATACAAAATACAATTATGCATGCATACAGATAAGTTGAAAGCTTTCTTTATAAGTGCAACAAAATAACATAAGGATGAACTGATAGCAGAAAATCTGTACCTATGAGCCAAAAAAAAAAATGTGTCTTTAATGTGATATTTATCTCCCATGGCTATTTTATAAGATAAATGGTGCTTTAATGGCAGCTAAGTAAAGATCTAAAATAATACAGCATTGCCACAAGGCTGCTAGATCAATTAAGCACAAAGACACAAAGCAACCTTGGGCTTTAAGTGTCCAAACCAATAGGCATACAAATCCTTTTAAACCACAAGATGAAAACAACAGCAAGAGATTATTCTGCTAACTCCTCGCAGGCGATTTAATGAAAATGGTTACAAATTTGTGTAATGTTACACACCAAAATTCAAACAAACAAAAGAAGGGAGTGCAAACCACAGTCAAACCATCTATCTCATCAGAAGGCATGAAGCACCACAGAGACACCAAGAGTATTAAAAGAATTCTTCTATATTCACAGCCCAGACACTCTGACAGCCTGTATCTCTTCATCCCCGGCTTTGAGGTGGTTTTGATTTCATGGGCAATGTATGTGTCTGCTTGTAGATTAAACCCAGGCAAAAACTCATTCATTTGCAGACTAGTAAACTCCAATTTTTCTTTCCATCTTACATCATTAGTACCTTTAGGGTAAAGAAAGAGTCACTACAACCTCATCTCCAATCCACTGCACTCAAACGTTTTGGGTCTCTGGGATTTTCAACAAGAGATGCCCATTTCCTGCTTTCACTGAACACATAAATCCTGCTGTGTCTTTGGGTTCACAAAAGTAATACTAAGCTCATCGCCAAGAGTAGGTTTCAGGTAAATGAACTAACTGAAAGCATTCATGACTCTGTCCAACTGAAGAACTCCATTGTACTTCTTGTCCCTTCTAACTTGACTGTTTGGGATGTAGACACCTACAGGTCAAAGTTGAGCTAGACTCCTTTCAGGATGTTTGACCAGTAGAACCAATAGAAAAGAAGAGGCTTTTGTTCATAAACACATACTAAGAAGCTCCTTGGTACCTTGTAAAAGCAACAGTGACCTGAATGGTAACTAACGTGAGTATTCCTAACAGGCACAACATCTCTGCCGTGGGGAAAACAGCCAGTTTTTGAACCAACTCTTTATTTAAGGGCAAAAATGTGCCTTTTGAAGAACATATTCTATTTCAGCCAAACAAGACAGTAAATTAGAGGGGGGGAAAGTATGTGTTTCCTTAAGAGTAGCATGAAAAAGAATGGGACTCATCCACAAACAATTGTGTCTAAGCTTTATCTCACGTTATCTGAAAATTCCCATTTTTTAAGTTGCATATTATAACTGGAAATAATCTGTAAGCTTTTGAAAGTTCCTGACATGGCTTAACCTTAAATAAAAATAAGTTAACATTTTATAGCTTATCATCATTATAGAAAAATCTAGAATATCTTATTTCCCTCTAAATAATGTGTTAGGCAGGAATAAGGTCAGAAGCCTTAAAATTAACTTCACTTTTAAGCAGCTAAATACATTTTAGACAGTCTAACTTGGGGCTAAAAGCATCTTAAGGCCATCGACTCTGACTACTTGCATGCAAGCAAAAGTAATAATTAATAAGTAAGACTTAAAGAAGGTATCACTTGGATTTTGCTCCATTTCTAGAAAGCACATTCATTTTACCTTCATACAAGATAGTCTTTGAAGAGTTCCTCCCCTTAGAATAATGAGCAGTGTGAGTCTCCTGCTGCTTGCTGACTCGGTGTAACACACTAACTCTGATGGTACTGTCACAGGATCAGAGCTGATGCCCAAAGCTCTATCGACCAGAATAGTTGGAGGAATATGGTGGTTTTTCACCCTAATCATCATTTCATCCTACACTGCCAATCTGGCTGCTTTCCTGACAGTAGAGAGGATGGAATCTCCCATTGATTCTGCAGATGATCTGGCCAAACAAACCAAGATAGAATACGGAGCAGTCAAAGACGGCTCTACAATGACCTTCTTCAAGGTAAGAACCTGGCAAAGCCTTCTTAGTGCTCAGCTAGTTCTGGGACGGTGATGGAGAAAGTAAAAGCCTCTCAACTAGAGAAAAGATCATATTGGACGATGTTTCTAATGAAATGAATTTTTAGTGTCATTCTGAGGAATGACATCCTCAGGGCAAAGACCTTCTTCTTCATTCACTCCTTCAATCTGTATTTTTTTGTTTTGTCTGTTTGCTTATTTGTTTTTTTTTTGTTTTGTTTTGTTTTCTAAACCAGAGTTTCGTGTAGCTCAGGATTGCCTCAAACTCACTATGTAGCTGATCCCAGCCTTGAACTCGTGATCCTCCTGCCTTCACTTCTCAAATGTTAGAATTATAGGCATAGGCTACCACACTCAGCCTGATTGTCAATTTAATACACTCAAAACTACAGATCAGTATTCCCCTGGTCTTAATTGCTTTACATGTATTTATTTATTTATTTATTGTGCATGTGACTGTATACACACACCATGACACACATGTGGCAGTCAGAGAATAACTTTTAGGAGCTGGTTTTCTCAGGCCTCTGGGTTTCAGAGACTGAACTCAGGGCATCAGTCTTAGCAGCAAGTGTCCTTGTCCAGACCACCTCACTGCCCCTTCTGTGGCTTTTATATTTTAATAATAATACTTCCTGGATGCAAACTAATGATGCCTCCAAAAATGAAGATTTAAATAACATTATTTTGTTTGATACTTACAAGATAGAAGCATGTGACCAAAAGAAATGTTGGTATTGGAACTAAGTTGTAGAATTAAAACCAAAAGTATCCCAAGGAGCTAGCCATGTCTGAAGCTCTCCAGGAGCCATAAATGTTTTATAAGCATCAAAGGCAAATGATTCTTGCCTTGCTTATGAAGTAAGCCTTGATACTTTTATTGTCAAACTTCAGGTACTATAATTCTCAAAGAATGAATTCTAATGGACCCAGTAGGTTTAGTAAAGTGAAGGTGTGGCCCTTCACTTTATGAATGAAGAAGACAAGAGTTCCAGGAGCTGACCCCCTTGCATAGTCATGTGTCTGGGCCTTTCCAGCAAAGGGACTGAAGCCTTCTACTAAGAAACACTGATGAGCAGGGCAGTAGTGGCACATGCCCTTAATCCCAGCACTCAGGAGGCAGATGCAGGCCTGTGAGTTTGAGATGCATACTCTGTGAGTATGAGGCTAGCCTGGTCTACAGGGTGAGTTCCAGGGCAGGCTCCAAAGCTACACAGGGAATACCTGTCTCAAAAAAAAAAAAAAAAGACACTGAGGTACTTAGCAAAAAAAAAAAGAAAGAAAGAAAGAAAGAAAGAAAGAAAGAAAGAAAGAAAAAGGAACACTGAAGAACACAGAAATACAAGTTTAAACTTCAGTAGCTCATCTCACCACAGTTAAAATGGCTGCCAACAAGAAAAAAGAAAGCCCACTCCTGTTGACAGGAGTGTGGGAAAAAAGGGAATTTTACTCAGTCCAGGTGAGAGTGTAACATAATATAGCCATTCTGGAAATCAGTCCATAGGGGTCTCAAAAAATTAAACATAGAACTACCATATGCCCCCACTGTACCACTGCTGAGCATATAGCCAAGAGTCGGTATCTGCTACTGCAAATGTAACTACGCATCCACACTCACGATAGCTCTGTTCACAATGGCAAGGAAATGGACCACCCTGGATAGCCATCAACAGATGAATGGATTGTGAAGTGTGGTGCACACATGCTATGGCATTACTTTAGCTGTAGAGAAAAAAAAATGAAATCATGATATTTGTGAGAAAATGGATAGAGCTGGGAAGGAGGAAGACAGATTCTGGATGACAACAATGGGATGTTGCCTGTCCCTGTCGTGTGTGCCCTTATCTCAGAATGTCAATGTGTGTACACAAGTGGTGGGGCCTGTGAAACTGGAAAGGTGTCAAGGAAGCCGAGAAGGGCTCTAAGACACCAGTGAAGGGAAAGCAAAAGGAGTCTGGGAGTGAAGGGCTAGAGGGGGTCAGTGAGACGGGAGAGAGTACAGTACGGGAACCAACAAAACCTGTTTAATTGCCGGATGAACGATAGCACTTTTCCTGATAATTTTACTTTTAAAAAGTAATGGCGATAAAGGCTGGTGGTATAGGGAAATGGGGTTCTGAGTAAACAGAGCATTTGTCACCAGAACAAACTCCTCTGCAAAGTTCACACCTGGGTTCTCACAAATGACATAAACAGCAGAGTAGTGTAAAAATGTAGCATATAGCTTTCTTATATGTTAAGAAAAACATTTTTTAAAACATATTTTCAGATTAAGGACAAAGTCACTAATTTATAACATGTATACATCACAGAGATAATGTCTCCCTTAGAAAGTGGTATTTTAAATATAACGATTATACATGAGTACAAGACTTTTCAAGTTTCTAAAAAGTTTTGTATTTCCCCCAAATCAGTACTGTGAAGAGGCACAAGTTTACCAAAGCTAACTTTCATCGTGGTTCTTGTCATAAACAAGTTAAGTCACTGGCCAGGCATGTGAGACAGAGAAAAACATACCACAGTGAAACAGATGTATCTGAAAAACAGTCCCAAAACCATTTATGTTGTTCAACATCATCATGGACTCTTGAAGTATTGGGAAATGGCAACTCTACTGTCCCATGTCACCACAGTCAGAATGGTTGCCACCAAGAAAGAAAGCTGATGACAACAAATGATCAGAGACAATCCCAAGGACTTTCAGATGCACACTGCCAACAATGGAGGAGGTTCGCTCTGAACAGTAGACCTAACCTAACTTTACCAAAATTAAGTCAAACCTCAGAGAGTTTTAGGAAGTTTAGGAAGTGGAGACCTAGTCTTTTGTTTTACTGTTACATCACCAGAACACGGTGCAGTGACTGGTAAATAGCAGGTACTCAGAAAATACATCCAAGATACAAACTAGGGACTGCTTTACAGTAGGTATTTAGAAAACATGTTCATGCTAAATGAGTAAACATGTAAACACACTCTCCAAAAAAAATGCGAGACAGAGACCACACACACACACAGGATAGGTGGATAGAAACATAGAGCCATGGGAGGAGAGTAGCTGCTTGCCAAGTTCTTCACTTTACACATCACCCTATGGCCCAGGAACTCTGTTTGTCAAGAAGGATGTATATGCAAAAAGAAAACAAGGACTGAACCTAATTTTGATTTCCTCTTGAGGGAGGCAAGCTGTCAGAAAGTTTCAGAGGGTCCATGTTCAAGCGTTTGTAATCTAGATTGTTCCACAAAGAAAAGAGATATTCCAGCCTTTTATCTGTCTGGACCGTTTCATCCAGAGAGTTCAGTCCCTGAGTGAGAGTAGTTACAAGCACAAGGAATCAGCCCCATCAATGCCACTCATGCTGTGTCCCCCAGCCTTTCTTCCTCCCTGCCTTCACCTCTTAAGGAAAGCAAGAACCTCTTCTGAGTGTTAGGACTTTCCGAGTGTGTGTGCATGCTGTGGAGAATGCAAAAGTGAGAGAACAACCTACAAGAGCCAGTTCTCTCATTTCACCATGTGGGTCCCAGGGGTGGAAGTCAGATTGTCAGGGTTGGTGACAAGAGCCTTTACCCCCGAGTCATCCCACTAAGCCAGAATGATTCTACTTGTACAATAGCAATTTAAAATAAAGCAACTTGCAACGATTTAATAACAAAAGCTTTCCACATAATGTTGCTGCCAAGGACTATTCTCAAGGGACCGTTTTACTAAAATGTTGTCTCCAAAGAGTGGCCAAAAAAATTGCTTGCAAAATTTTAAATAAAAGCCCATCGACATTTTCTTCTAGATTTTGTTGTTTTTTACAAACAGCATGATACCTTACATTCTAGAATACCTGTATTCAATTCTCAATTTTTTTAAATCAACAAAATTTATGTTTCTAAAATAGCCCAAGTGAGTTTCTCTTTTCCATTATCTATATTCAGATAAAGTATGGATTAGCTGACTTTTTAAAGATGTATATTTTTAGTGCATATGGGTGTGTGTGTGTGTGTTGTGTACGTCTCTCTGTGTGTGTGTGTGTGTGTGTGTGTGTGTGTGTGTGTGTGTATGTGTGTGTGTGCATGAGTGCAAATGCTTATAGAAGCAAAAGGAGGGTATAAGGTCCCCTGGAACTAGAATTACTGGCAGTTGTGAGTTGTTCATTATGAGCGCTGAGGTTCTTTGGGTGGAGAGCAGGTGTTCTAACTACAGAGCCATCTTTTCAGCCCCCTGGCTGACATTTTTAAGCAAGAACTAGGTCAAGTGTATGTCTGAGATGAGGGAGGCTTGTATGATTTTCTTTCATTGAGTCATCTATCTGTATGTGGAAACACACTGGTCATCAGAGACCATTCATATCGGGGTGGGAGATTGAAACACACCTTATATTTCACAAAATTTCAGAAAGCTTTAAACAGACATCCTGAAATTCTAGTTGACATTGCCCATAAGGAAAATAACAACTGGACTTTTTTGGCCAAGGTCAGGTAACTAATGATGCTTATTATACACTATACTTTTACAAGTCCATAGACACTCTGAGTCTTAAAATTTTTAATCACCATGGATCATATAATAGTCTATTTGATCAAAATGTGACATTCATCACAAGGACAATTGGCAAGCCATGATTAAGGAAAGGCCAAGTACTTCACCAGTTGTCCTCTTGAGTTTGTTTAGGAAATTTGGTCTCAGAGGACTGCTGTGTTCTGCTTATCGAGACTTTATTTATAACAGAAATTTATAAATCAGAAAATTCATAAATCAGCAATTCAACAGACCGGAATAAATTTTCAATGACCTATTTTATTAGTATTTGGGATGAAGCTAGTTAACCAACAACCCAGGCTCATGCTGCTGGCCCTCTGTCTACTGGTGGATGGCTCGTTCCTTCCCTCACTGCAATGCTCTGAACAGGTAATATTCTCACTGCTCTTCTGATTTCCTGGGGCCACGATCAACATCACAGAGGTCAGAATCAATGAACAGTCAATACACAGGTCTGT